GTATCTACCTCAGGTAAATGTTCAACTCATATGCCTGTCTTTTGTTTGGCTGGAAGCCACAGGTGTGGGTTCAATTCCAGACCTGAAGGGCAGCTAGGGACCATAGTCTCAGTGGTTCCACCAGGCTCTATCAAACCAGCAAACCTGGTCTCTCCCCCTTTTTTTTTTTTCCAAATGATTTTGAGTTTTGCTCTATATTGTTCTCCCTCTCTATCCAGGATCTCCTACATAGATCCCCCTCTGAGTGGTTGACAATGGTATACAGGCAACATCTAGTTCATCTGGTCTCATAGTCATATAGGCTGCGGATCACATGGTGTACCAGTCGCAAGGACTAGTTGTTTCCATGAATCTTTGGTTTTCTTTATTCTTCTTTGCTTTGGAAGAGGAGAGACCCATCGTTGCATATAGATGGCTGCTTGCAAGCTTTTAAGATCCCAGTCACTACTCGCCAAAGTAGGAGGTGGAACAATGTTTTGTATAATATGTTATGCCAATTGAGCTTGATGTCCCCTGAAACTATGGTCCCGAGCCTACAGGTTCAACTATTCATGCCCTCTTGAGTATCTGGCTGTGACCAAGAAGTGACTACAACCTTGTCCCTTGTCAGCTGTACTATACACCTGGGAATTCTTATAGATCATACAAATACACTTACAGGACTACTGTCTGCCAATCCTATACATGGTCTTGAGTACACTCCCCCCTGCATAGACATACCTAATAGTTCAACCTGTCCACCCATCTATCCACCCATATACCCATGTTTGCCTTCACTGACAACGCAGTACTGGGTGTGCAAAAGGGTTCATCTTTGTTGTTGGTACCTCCAACGTACCTCTCTACATCTTCCTTTTCCTCAATGCCACCATGTTGAACACTCAAATTTGGTACATTGCCCTTCTCTTCACCCAAATCAATACTTATCTCTACCTATCTAACAGGGCTCCCTCCCCTACCATCCCACCTCTGGTAATCAACAAAGAAAATTTCCTTCCACAGATAAACCTTTCCTTGACTTTTACAATAACGGACTAATACAATATTTGTCCTTCTTTAATTGACTTATTTCACTCAGCATAATCTCCTCCAAGTTCATCCATGTTATGCAGTGTTTTGCAGATTCTACATTATTTTCTAGGATTGCATAGTATTCCATTGTGTGCATGTACCATAGTTTAGTTATCCATTCCTCAGTTGATGGACACCTAGGTTGTTTCCATCTTTTGGCTATTGTAAATAGTGCCGCGATGAACATGGGTGTACATATATCTGTTCTTGTCATGGCTCTCTCTTCTTTAGGATGTATACGAAATAGCTGGGTCAAATGGGATCTCAATTCCAACTTTTTGAGGAATTGCCATACTGCTTTCCACAGTGGTTGTACCATTTTACAGTCCCACCAGCAATGTATGAGAGTCCCAATCTCTCCACATCCTCGTCAGCATTTATTATTTTCTGCCTTGTTGAACTTTGCTACTAGTGCTGGGGCAAGATGGTATCTCATTGTTGTTTTGATTTGCATCTCTCTAATAGCTAATGATCATGAGCATTTCTTCATATGTTTGCTGGCCACCTGAATATCCTTCT